GGAAAAAAAAAAAAAAAAAAAAAGAAAAGAAAAAGAAAAAAGAAAAAAGAAAAAAAGAAAAAATTCCTAGAAAAATCAATATGCATAAATTAAAGCAAGAAAAGTATAATGTAGTTACAATAGCAGAGAAGATTCAAGTAAATGGGAAACTTGGCTAAATGACTTAAAACAAGCCAGATGCATAACATACATCACACTCTGCATACATAATTATGGACTCTACTTTGTGTTACAATGTAACCTAATTTTTCCATCTTTTCATTTTCTTGTATAGTGCCTTTGTATTCTAACCTTTCTCTGCCTGATAGAAGCCCAGAATATTATTATCAGAAAGTAATGTTTACCAAATTTGAACAAGAAATATTTTAAGGAATTAGTATCTTCAGTTAATAACATGTTGAATGTACAGTACATGTATATGTCTAGACTAATGTTAAAATTTGTTTTTCTTGGGCCTGGGATTTAGCTCAGTGGTTCTGCTGCCTGCTTCACAAGTGTAAGGTCCTGAGTTCAATCCCTAGTACCCCCCCAATTTTTTTTTATTTTTCTTTTGATCTCTGACTTTTATGTTCTTTCTCCAAATCATCTTTCCTTCCCATGTTTAGGATACTCAGCCACAGTGTCAAATACCATGAATCCATGCATTTTCCCAGATGATTCTGCTTCTCTCTGTGCCAAGCACCATGGACATTAATAAGCCAAAATTCATTCTTTTAGAGAAAAAGGAAAAAAAAATACAGTTGCATTTGGTTGGTATGGCAGGCAGGATAAGATACACCAAAGATATCCTCATCCTAATCCCTGAAACCTGTAAATATGATAGTTTTTAAGACAAAGGGGACTTTGCACAGGTATTATGGTTAAAGATTTTGAAGGGAGGAGATCATCATAGATTTTCTGAATAGGCCCATTGCAATCGTAAGAGTACTTAAAAGTGCAAGAGGAGGCAAGTACAGGAAGAGAAGGATATGGGAATAGGGAAGAATGATCAGAATGATGCCATTTTTCTTGTTGACCCCTGAAGACAGAGGAAGAGCTAAGAATCCCAGGGAGCCAGATGCCCAGAAGCTGCTAAAGTCAAAAGACAGATCCATGCCTGGAGCCTGCTGATGTCAAAGCTCTATCTCAGTGAGAACCATGCTGCACTTTTGACCTGTTTTAGAGCCACTAAACTTTTCATAGTTGGTCACAATAGCATATAAAGAACAAATATAGCAGCTATAAATTCATAAATGGTGCTCAGACAGGAGAAGACGGAAGAACAGGGGGAGGAAAGAATAGGAGAAACAGGAGGAGGGAGGCGGAGAAGGAAAGACAGAAAAGAAAATAAAAGAGGAAAGAAAAGAAAGAAAAAAGGAAGGAAAGAAAGAAAGAAACCACTAGGTAAGACAGAGATAGAAAGAAAATGGTAAGGGACCAGAACAGCAGAACTGTCCAGATAGCTAAACCACAGAAATATGAGAAACAATAAACTGTCATTTCCAATACTAAACTTGGAGGATAGCTTTTAATTTAGCAAATAGAGTCAATTAACAGATAAGCTTCGGGTCTGGCTACTAATAGTTTAGGTAATTTGCTGTAAAAGGTTTTCCTTACTGGTAAAGGAAACACAGAACTGTGCCTCCATCCTGTATGGGATTGGAGAGAGAAGAGGTGGGCTGTAGCCATTGGGCAATGTCCACATTAATCCAGGCTTCCTTTTCACCAGCTAGGCTAACCTTTCTTTCACTAGCAGTAGTGAACAAGATTTTTTAGCTCTGGGGTATCAGTTAAGAATCAGTCAGAAAAAAAAAAAAAAAGAAAAAATGTAGACATTTAAATAGAACAGATTTAAGGCGAATATTGAGGTAGTTGAAAATGTGAAGCTTTGAAGGTATGCTCGTTAATACTGACTGTCAACTTGATTGGTTTGAGAGTGAAGCACCTTCCTGGGTCTGTCTGGATGAGTCACAGAAGTGTGACTTTAGGAATTACATCTAGTTCTGGCTCCTTCTTCTTAGACTTCTCTTGTGCTATCATCAGTGTCAACCTGAACTCAGAAGATTTTTTTAATATTAAATTTCCTAGGGCTGAAAGAAAATACTTGATACTTACAAACTAAAAGGGGACAGATTTATTTTGGTTCAGAGTTTCAGAGAGTTCAGTCCAAGGTCACTGGC